AAACACACTGATTTTTCTCTCTAGTTCACAGGAAACATGTCGATGTCGTAGCTGAAGGAGGTCGGGCTTGGACCGTCGCGAACGTCGTCTCGTTTGTAGCCGATAACACCGATTTAAAAATGATTAAAACCAGAATTGGTCATTATTCTTTTCAACCACATGGAACACAGAGAGGGCATGCAGCAAATCAAACCCTTAAAGTCCCAATCCAGGATTTATGTAGATCAGCTGTGGGTCTATATACAAGTAATATACGGAAAAGTACAGTTTAGTGATGAGAAATTATCTCACGCCCACTTTCAGACAAGAATTAAAGGGACAGTTCACCCTAAACTAAACCTCTGGGTTGTAGTGATATTTAATCATCATTTTTGGGGGGATTTTCCCAGTTTTCTAGAAAAAAAAAAAAAGCTCTCATCACATAGATAATGACCTGATTACACAAAGCGATCCACAAACCTTGTGGTGCGCACTTTCATGTACAGCAGGAACTATCTTCTCTCCACCCAACTACACCCACCAACCATAACACTGTGCAGAAGAAAGCATCAATCTACCCATGACACGATGCACACCCTAGTGACAGAGTGACATGATGTAAACAACATAAATGGCGTCAAGCCTTCATTTACAGCTGAGCTGCAATGTTAACAAGCTGCACGCTTCGTTTTTCAGTGTTTGCAGACACTAGAAAGAAAATAGTTTAAAGAAGAAATCGCTCCAAGCGAGGTTTGTAGAGGTTTTTTTTTCGAAGAACTGGTTCATGATTTCTGAAACAGACGTTGCTGTTGAGGTTTTAACAACCTTGAGCGCCTCAAGACAAGAGCCATCTGGTTTCATTATATTCAAGAGAAGGAGAACAATACTCCTGCTTATATCTCTATAACTGGAAATACCACATATCGTATATTTTAAAATATGTTTTTGTATTTATTTTGCGGTGAACTGGCCCCTTGAAAGGATTAATCCAGCTGCTGGTAGGTAGTCACATTGAGCGTTGAAACATGTGGTTTTCCAATGGGAAATAGAGCAAAGAATAGAAGCCAGCTTTTGTATTTGCTACGAGTGACCGTGTCTACAGATTGTCAATCAGTGAAAAAGAAAACAAACAGATAAAGTACGTCTTTAATTCTATATTTTCATCTGAAGAAGCTGGTATTTGCATAACAGCTGCCACAGTGAGAGGAATTCTGGATTGGGTCTTTACCCAGACCCTTTCCAGGGTCTTAAAGGCAGGTAAAATGGCAAAAAAATACATTTTGAGTGACAAATAGAGCCACAAAAAGAAGCATGTCACATTCGTTTGCTTATTTGCAGGATCCAAATTAGACAGTTAACACAAAAGAAAACTCCAAGCCCTTAGATGCACACTACAGAAGTTAAGCAGAGTTACATGGAAAGCCATTTTTGAAATCTCGTGCTTGTCTCATTAGTCCTGAAAAGAACTTATTTTATGTGAGATCAGAGCTGGAATAACATCAACCTTTAAAGTCGTCTCTAGTTATTCTCTCTAAGTACTATAAAGCAGACAAGCCAACAGGGCAAGTGTAATTAAAAATACAGCCCTGCTCCCAGTTACTATGTATCTGTCTGCCTGGCGACGTTTTCAGTCTTCAGATATTTTACGCTTAACCCTCCAGAGCTTTCATTTTTTCTGCTTGAGCTTACCTGAAAGCCACGTCAGTAAACATTTAAAAGACAGCAATTAACACTTCTGCACAACAACGCTTAGGCTGTGTTGATTT